TCTCAGAATGGGTAAGACACTTAAATTTGATCCAGAAATCCTTTAAAAGGTCGACAACCGATCTGTAGATAGAAGCTAATCGAGCACAGATTAACTTTCTAATTTCCCCCCTTTTTTTAAAGAGATCTTCATTATTAGAACGGTACAAGAACGAGTTGAACGAACGAAGCGAGTTACTCGTTCTCGCAATCTCTTTCCATATAATCGCAGAGCGATAGCGAAGAAAACAGTCGTTTCTCGTTAACTACCTACACACTTTTGGATTACGACCTGGATTAGAGAAGACCGGTATATCCGGAAAAGAAAGTGGGTCGTGTCTCTCTCTCTAAAATTCGCAATTCTGAAGAACCAACCACAAAATTTCCAACGATAATCTTGTATTTTTATAAGAAAAGTTTTCTATAAAAAAATTTACTCACCTTCGGGACATGGAGTTACTGCCAGATCCTGTAAAAAAAGAAATGGAAATAGCATCAGTTACGTGAAATGAAAAAGCAGAGAGGTTGCGGACGAAGTTTTCATCTCTCAAACGTGAACGTCGAACGTCGAGCGCCGTTTACAAGATAACGGCGCTCGACGTTCGACGTTGACGTTTGAGAGACGAAAACTTCGGTCGCAACCTCGCTAGCGATAAAGCGAGATTGCGGTCGAATTTTCTCACAATTCAAACTAATAAACTCATAAATCTTCATATTTTTAGATGAAAAATCGAGGAAAATAAGGAAAAAAGCAGAAAAACAATTGAAAATAACAATGAATAACATTACGGTTTCCTTGTTTTCACGCTTGTACTCGCACCCATAATTAATTTTCTCGTAAATGATGCATCACCGAGCTGTCTCATCATTATATGGGTGGTATTTGGATAAATGAGAATTTTACATACAGACAGAAGCTGCTTGACTACTAAGATACAATTCGACCCCCCCTATAACACTGTTAATTTTTCCGTTTTATATGAATTCCATGTTGTACGAGTCACTTAGATTTTACAGATACGTGTGCCGGGCTGTGAACGGCTCACGTATTTGTAAAATTCAAGTGACTCGTACAACATGGAATTCATATAAAACGAAAAAATCAACAGTGTTATAGGGGGTCGACTGTATCTCAAACCGGTGTCTTAGACCTATTTAAATATCCTAGGCACTGGAATTTGTTTCATATTGTACACGACTGTAACACAACAAGTCATTACAATTAAAGTTTGTAATAATCCAATGGAAAACAAACATTCGAGTTCTCATAAACACAATACAATGCAGAAGTTTGTATAGCATAGTAAACAAAGTATCGTTTATAATTATAAATTAAGCACGCTAAATTCACGAATATTTATCTTCTGATTGTGTTGAATGTTCGGGTTGTAGTTCTAACTAATTTTATGTTTACAATTAGGAAATCATTGTCTACGAGTTTCTATAAAGCAGAACACGTTCAATTAAGACTTGGAATCGGTTTCGAGGATTATCTATTACCTTTTTAAACTATAAAATTATATTTTATTAGATTAGACACTGGTTATTTCTAGGAAGCCATCTAAAAGTCCCTTCCTTTTATGTGTTATAAGACATTCGAGAGAGCCAAATTGCTGGGATTACGTAAAATCAGGATTAAGGATCGATTTTTTTTCCTATTTTTCTAGCTAAAAATTATATTTTTGTTTGATATATTAAATGAATTAAGCAGCAATTTTCGGAAGAAAAGGAAAAAAAAAACAAATTAAATATATAACACAACCTGTTCCCACAATGCAGATAATCTAAGCGAGATCTGATCCTTATTAATTGCTTCCAAATGACACCTATTTATTAAAGCAGGATAAGAAGAAAATAATTTAAATATTTTAATTAGTAAAAAGATAATTTTTTTTCTTATTTTTCCGTAATTTATTCGTGGAAAGTTAGAGGTGTACTCGACTCCCTCTGATAATACTACTTTCGCATTAATCCTATTACTTAAGCTGCAAAAACAGCAGTTTGGTTCGAAATTATCGGATATCAAATTAACTGAATTATGTGAACGTTTAAGCATCTTAAATTCCTCTTTTTTCCCCTCTTTCTCTCTCCTCTTTTATTCTTCTTAATGGATAAATTCTAGCTTGATGTGAAAATTGCATTTTATCAGATATGCAAATCCATAAAGCGATTATTACTTAGCACATAAATGTTATCATTTTAATTAAAGATAAGCTCAAATATTTTCAAAACTCTGTTATAAATGTGAGAAAAATTTTATTATAGAAAATACAGTAGAAGAGTAGTGTATACGCAGTGAAATAGTTTAAAAAACAGCAATTAATTCGGAGTTTTGTAAACTAAGAGTTGGTGTTTTGTGAAATGGAGCTTGCTGAATTTATTCATATACCGTCTGTCATGAATAATACATGATTTGCATCAAGTTGAGTCCAAAATTTGCGATTCTAAACCTTTATCTTGTTTAAGAATCATAGAGAGAAAGGGAAGTGCTTATAAAACACCAGAGTTAAGCGAGTAGAGAACTGTCAAAATTCCCGAAAAGACGAAGAAAATTGAAATTTTCTCGTATCCGTTCTTTGCTGCTGACAGATATACGTAGATCCGGTTAAAATAATATTTCTGAAGTAAATTTTCTTTGAAATATTTACATTTTCTTTACTTCTCTAAACGGAACATCTGTTCTCTTTTCTATAATACAGAAACTTTCAATTTTTTTTTTAATACATAAATACGTTGTATAGATACTGCTAGTTGGACTATCGCAGCTTCTGGCAGTTAGGTCATCGAAACTGCTTGTATAGTTTATTAGTAACCATCATTTGTACCACTAATTAGTGCGAATAAACTAAAATGCTATTGATCATTACATTAGAATTGATTGTGATAGATTCAACAGAGAAAAATGGCAGAAAGGAATCCATAAGAAATAATTGCAATCATATAATTCGAAACTCTTATAATTGAAAAAGTTTGAAAGAAGCAAACGATTTCTGATCTTGTTTCTATTCTGACGTGGTACCAACAGACACAAAACGAGATCCTTCAAACAGAAGAGTGCAATAGCATCATCGAATATCGATCGATAATGATAACAACCGAGGTGGGAAGACAACATTTGCCTTCGATACTTATTACTATACTTTCGCTTCGTTCAATGATAACAGTAAATGGATGGCAATAACATTGATTCCGCTGGGAAACGACCCCCAAAAAAACACACGCCTCTTCAGATGAAATCTAATATTTTGCATCTCGCACCAGTTTAAAATACGAAAATTTCTAACGTTATGCGTATTTTTTCTTTCTTTATATTTATAACATGTTTTTAAGTATTGGTGAGGATCGATAGATGAAGAATTTTAAATCGTTTATTACTTAAAAAAGAGGGTTTTTTTTGTCTTAAAGTTGATATAATTAGCTTTATTTTTATGTAAAATTATCTTAAATATGTTTTAAAATGTGCTAAAGATCGATTCTTGATGATAATAGTTATTGCTCCTTTCTAAGATGCTACTATATTATGATAATTGGTACTTGTAAAATGCTGT